ATTAATATTGTATCATGTTAAGGATTGCTATTACTATTCAACGACAGTTTTTGATTTACAGATTTTGTCATTGTTTATGAAAATAATAAACAGATAAAAAATAAAAAACGTATAAAAAAACATAGAAAACGGCTTTCACTTTCACGCCGCTGGGGTGATGAGGTAAACGACCCCATGACCGGATATATGTACGCGAATAACCGAACATTTACATTAAAAACATTTATATTAAATAACAGATTATTAGATATGTAAATATTAATCGTAACATTTCTCAACGTTTGAAGTAATTTTTAAAATATATTTTTAATTATTATTTTTTGACTCTACGCAAATATTTTTTTATAATTATTTCTTCAATAAATGTTCGGCCAGTGATATTTTTTCTGGTCATTGGGACGTCCATACATCCGACGCGACTATTTCTAAAATCAGAGATCCGACACGTGACCTTTAAGAAAATACATCTCTATGACCAAAATACTTTTTTGTACAAATGAAAGTGTATCAAAAGTTGCCGTCGTCAACATAAAGTAGCTTACTGTCGCTTATTGGATTGTAAAAGACATCGGGGCACTGGCGGGGAAAGAAGATTATACAAACTAGAGTCTAACTAGAGTCTTCGACTTGATCGCGAATTTCCTCTCTCTCTCTCTCTCGTTGCCATTTTAAGGAGATTACCTTTGAGCATCTAGCGCGATTTCGAAGCGCGTCTCGTTAACGATGTAAATGTCGTAACGCAATTACGATAGCGATGCGGGGAGAGAACGACAGTTGCGAGTGGATTTTATTTCACGCGTTTAAGAATACCGGATAGTCGCGCGACACGGACTTTACCTGCGTTTTACGTCCAATTACTCGCGTGTGAGATGCTCTCTCCGTGAAAATGCTTCCGAGCTTTCAGACAGAATGTAACTTGAAACGTTTGTGCGTGCGATCCGTTTCTCATTTTTCTTCGCGCTTTTGTGTGTTATATTATATACTCGAAAAATAAAGAGAGGAAGGAGTGAAAAAACTTTCCTTTAGTCACGTGTCTTCAAAAAAACGTGACTAAAGTAAGATCACGTGACAGAGAGGAGAGGAAAAACAAAACGTGACTAAAGTCACGTGACCTTACTTAGTCACGTTTTTCAAGACACGCGACTAAAGTAAGGTCACGTGACAAAGAGGAGAGGAAAAACAACACGTGACTTTAGTATAGTTTTATAGTAAACTAATCTCTTCGTCTCTCTCTCTCTTTCTCTCGTTCGCGCTCTTGTGTGTATTATATATCATTAGCTTAATGTAAAACTAATTTAACCGTCTCTCGCATCTTTACGTTTTTCCGCTCGCACTTCTGTAAAGCGCAAAAACGCGACGCGTGTTATTTTTCTTAACGAATTTTACTTAACCTCCGCGTCTTGACAAAAAAAGAAGCGCCCGAGAGTATACACCAAGCCGTATTATGTCAAAACTCAATTCCCAGTCAGGCTGCTGGATGCAAAGTGCCGCCGCGAATACGCGTATGCATCTCAGACGCTATCCTCAGACGGCGCAAAGTGCACTCTACTTTTCGCTAGAAAAATATAAGCTCTGAGGTGTATCTTGTATATAAAAATGCAAACATCACATTTACGTTTTAGCCCGCAACAACAAAACAAGCGCGCGTGTAATAGTCGGTTCTCTTGCTTCTTCGAGATTCTTAAAATTGATTAACACGAGAACGGTCGCGTAATATACGCGGCAAAGATCCGCTTAGAATTTTCACAATCTTATCTTGCCGAATAACCGACTTTATCGAACGCAAACAAAGAAATTATTTATACACGAGCTCTTCTTCTTATATCTGCGTGTGTAACTTCGATGTTGTAAATATCAAAAGTTAATTTTGAAGAGATTACAATATTTACAGTTGTCTCTCTTCTAATTTGTTCAAAAAAAAAAAAAAACAATTTTAACGAAAGAAAAACTGGTTTTTGTGCAAAACATTTTAAAAAATGTGTCGTTTATGTTTTTTAATTATCTTCAGTTGGAATATATGACGTTTGTAAACGTCAATAAACGGAGACTGCAGAAACATCGTGATTTTAATTATCACTTAATATTTACGAGTGGCGATTGAAAAGTATCCGAAACGACCTGCTAGATAGCGACAATAATATCACATTGCTTGTTGTCGTTGACAAGTTTTATCGTTCGAAAGAACAAAATGTCAAACGCTGGCTCGTTATCGGGCGTAGCGTTTGTGTGACAGCTCGCCAAAGTAGACGCTCTCTCACAGTGATTTTTGACAATGTGCCAGCTCACACTTCAACTGTTGCAACGGTTGCCAAAATTTACGAGTCGGGCTTTGAATCCCTCATCCGCCTTATTCGCCAGATATAGCCGCGCGTGCGCGATTTTTATTTATTTCCTGAAACTGAAAAAAAAAAACTGGAAAGAGAAATTTTTTCTGGCGCCAATAAAGTCACCGATATCGGCTGTATTTTAATACACAGATTTTTCGACGAAAAAAAAACATGCAAATGTATAGAAAAAGGCAAGTGTTACTGTTTTCAGTAGTTGCTTCTATTTCGATCGATGATGCGAGCTGTTATGATCGAGGAAGATTGTGTAGCAAAGAGCGCACTTCGCGGCTGATTGTGATTCGAGAAGAATCATCATTGATCCCAGCTCTTATACCAGCTTAGGAAAGGAGAGGCGGCGCTGGTCTCGAGTGAGGTCTGAAATCGTTATTGGAAACCGTTCTTCGTTAACCGCTTTAATGGACCGTCTTGGAAATCGAATTTCTATACCTGCAGCTTAGAAATGTCGAAGGATCTCTCTTCTTGTCGGGGGAAAATATCTAACGACAGAGAGAAGGACTTATCCTTAATTTTTACGATTGAACGGAATTTGCTGCGAAAACGTGTGATGTAAAAGAAAGTGTGTACGACCACCCACTTAGCGCATCGATCGGCTCGAGTTAAAATTCGATATCTCGGGAGAAGAGAAGAAGATATCTTTTCCATTTAATGCGTACATATATCACGAGGGATAACACCTCAACGTTTGCAGAGTTATAGTTTATTGCGATGATAAGTTCGATTTAGTGAGATCGGCGATCGAGATAAGATCTTTCCAAACCCTTTTCCCTTATCCCTCTTCTCAAGGTAATACAGCTCGAGTCGCTCTCGAGTGGAGACATTTTATTCTCTTCTCTTCCCTCTGTTCTCCTCCTCCTGTTCCTCTCTCGTCTTCGACATTCCACTAACTCTGAATCACCAGTAGCACACCGTAACTATCGGTAATTTTTGAAGAGAGACTAAACGCGCACACGCGTTTCCCAAAATTTCTTCCGACGATGTATAAGATCGAGAACTGCTGCTTGTTTTCTATTTTTCTATTTTTTTCAGGAGGAGGCAAAGGTTGCGATAATTTATTATTTATTCTTTCGATGAAAAAATTATCATGGAATTTATTGCGCGGTCGCAAACACAGAGAGAAAATAAACGCAAATTTGCGATAATTAATTCAGCATCGAAAAACATCAACACGGCGGCATAAAAAAAAAGCGCAGCATCTTTGCGTTTAGAGATAATATTTATTTTTTAACCGTTCACGCACGTGTAGATGTTTACTGAGAAAATAGAAAGGATGAAATGGATGGAAATTGCGGTTGATTTTCAGAGATGGATCAAGGACAAAATTGAAGTGGAGAACCGAGGTCGAGTTGACAGAGGTAAGTTAGATCAAAACTGGCATTGCACTGAAATAGTAAAACGTTTGGAGCGACTAAAAGCAAAGAGAAAGAAAAAGCGAGAGAAAGAGAGAGAGAGAGAGAGAGAGAGAGAGAGAGAGAGAGAGAGTGCAGTAAGTTGGTATTTGCAAGTTGATTAAGAATGATCGAATTTGCCACAATTCCATCTTTTCAATATTACAGATAAACCAAACTCGAGAATACGTGTGAAGAATAAAGCCGCAAACATTCGGTGACGCTGTTAAATTATTGAAAAAACGAGAGATAAAGTAAATTTGTGCATAAAAAGAAAAAGTAGAGAGAGAGTGAACTTTTGACCGTAATATTACATCACACAGATGTTTTGGTGCAAATCATATATTTAAATATGTAAATCATATACTTATATATATATATTTTTTTTTAATCGTATGATACGATATAATTAACAAACTTATATTTTAAAAGCCAGCGTTGATTTTACTCTCGCGAGATTATCCCACATTCGCATTTAAATTTCGTAATTGAACGAGTAAATTCACTTAAAAGATTTTCCAAAGGTTAAGTCGCCGTCTGTGCGTTTTCAATTTGCATATTACATTACGTGCTCCGTAAAAAATATCATCGTTCGAATGTTAGTTCTAGTCGCGCATTAATTGTAAGCCAAATTCGTTCCCAAAAATTGGACGTTTTAAAGCGTTTGAAACTGCAAAAATTTTCGCCACGTGATTCAAATTGCGGATCGATGTCGTGGCGGTTTCGCGGGCAAATAGCAGCGGTAGTAGCGGCGTGTGTACGTGGAGACGCGTCCACCCTCACGCATATTGCGTCTACTGTTACGCCACGCTATGAGATCCGGCTTTCGATGAGCGCGCTTCGTGGCCAAGGGTAGCGGGATCAAATTTAGAACAAAACACATACCGAAAAAAGAAAATACACGATAGAAGTAACAGATGCCGACGTGACGGGGAGAAGGGAAGGGAGATGCGGCAGGTGAAAACGCGTATCCAGAATCCGAGGGAGACGCGATTCGAGGTGTCGAATGCCAAAGGACCGGTAGTGCCACGCTTCGCAGACGTTCCTAGTGCGCAAGGGCGTTGGCGCTGATGGACGGTACTGGAAGTGTGTCCGGGGGTGTGGGGGTCTGGGAGAGCTTTAGAGCTTCGACGACGGAGGTGGGAGAACGCGCGAGGGGCGGTCGAGAGTGGAGAGAGAGAGAAAGGGAGTAGGGGATGGTTTGAGAAGAGACCGGTAGGGTGGGACAAACCGGAGACGCTCTCGGCTCGCTCAGTCCGCGCCCCGATACGCAATCACACGCACACACGTCTTGTTTAAGGACCACGGAGCTTCCGTCGTTTCTCGCTCCGGTCTGTCTTTCTCTCTCTTTTTCTTCTTCTTCTTCTTCTTTGTTTTATTTTTTTTGTTAAGTCGGTCCGTGTGAATTTCCGCTGTCGGATCGGCTCGGAAGAAACTCCGCACTTCGAATTTTCCTTCGTCGATCGCACATTACTGGTGAGTACGATATTTAACTTGACATGTATTTATCCGAGCCGATCGTAGCGGAAGATGGTGTTTTTTAAATTTTTTTTTTGTTTTTTTGCGCGTTACGTTTTCCACGCGCGACGAGCTTTTGCTTGACACAAATCCGAAAGAAAACTTTCGAAACTTTTCCAGTAGTATATTTCTTCGTTACCGGCCGCTCGGGTGAGTCGAGTTTATCTTCGATGCGTGACAAGTCGGAAATGTTGCGTCGTATTAGTGAAAAATTCATCACAAGACACATGATAAAGCGCGATAATCCGTTCCCTTTTCATCTTCGTCGAAATCTCGCGTTGCTGTTTCGTGTGGTGTGTGTTGCCCCGAGAATTACCCTCGTAATTACAATTGCCACACGTCGTCTCTAGGTTTCATCCTGCTAATGGAAGAGCCGGCGGGTTTACTTTATCTTCGCGAGAAAGAAACAAGATACGCCTTCTTTGTTTTAATAGTAGTTCTTGTTTTTTTTTTTTAGTTTTGTTTGTTTACGACAAATCTGATAAAACTCTCGGAGTTTTAAGCGCATGAACTTTAACTTTGTGGTTTAAAATTGTGCGCAAACTTTGTTTTTATTTATAGTTGTGTCAGGTAGGAATAATTATTAATTCGAATATATGTACGTGTTGAATGTTTGCGCCCCTTGTGTGTAGAAAATTCTCTCTACCTCCTTCTCTAAGGAATTAAAGTCATCGCGAAAAATTAATTCTTCGACGTGAAGAGCTGCGGTCTCGACTCGCGACCGCGCAATTATTTTTAACAATGACAAAAGCCTGATTCCTTAGGGAAAAACGAAAAACGAAATAAGGAGAATATTTTTATATACAGTCATTGTGGGATAATACTAAAAAAACTTTTATTTTTTGTTTATTTAATTTAGCTGCATGTAACAACAATAAGACAACCACTCGTTCGTTTTTATCGAACGAAAATATCAATAATCGTGGAAACTAAAAAAGCAAGTGATAAAAAACGAAATACAACCCGATGTTGACAAAAGTTGCTTACTCACAATCGATCAGTTGCGTTCTAGGGTTTGGGTGTGAGTAACGTTCTGTTTAATATTTCAGTCGTATTTTATGTTGCGCTGAAAATGCTTTTTCCTTCGCATATACACACGCGGAATATGTAATATACAAATTATTATCGAAATTCTTTGATAAATTATTCGTTCGTGTTTTGCGCGCGAAACAAAAACAGCAATGACATAATGTTTGGACTTGTTACGAGCAGACAATGATTCGGAGAAAGAGGAAATCACTAACGAGCTAGTTCGCCCATTAGCGTTGGAGGGTCTGTCAGTTTACAGCTTTACTCGTATTTGCTGCAGAAAATCCATTTGCTAATTGGAGAGTCCGACCATTTGCGAAATCAAATACGAGTAGCGTAGTAAGATTCGTGTACAAATTTCGAATTAGCATTCCATTATACTCAAGGCGTCGAGATACACACACCAAATTAATGAAATAATATAGTTATTACGCGTCATCAATCAACTCCTCTGATATTTTCGATGTAATTGCGAATTTTTTCGATTTATAGGCTCAGAAAACGTCCTCTATCAATCTCACCCTCTATGTCATATCTTGCGTATAGGAATTTTATCTTTTATTCTCTCTCCCTCTCTTTTTCTTTTTTTCTTTTTTTGCGAGAAGTGAATACGTCGATATTACAAACAATTTTTTCAGTTTGTAGTGAAATTATTTTGCAAATCGCCTAAACTTTGTTGAACTCTCGCAGTTTGTTGAACAATGACATACTGTCAACGTTCATAGCTTTAAAACTGTACAAATGTAACACACAAACAGTTTTTTTTTGTTTTTAATCCTTTAAAATCTTTATCGATATTTTATTTGAAGTAAACATGTTCAATCTCGGTTCTATTTATACGCGCTGGACGTAATTTTATGGACGGTTGACAAGCACAATTGCAAGAGTAAGCTCGAAACTTTCTCGAAGCTGCTTCGAACCGCTCATCTCCCTGCTGTCTAAACTTGATTCATCTAACTTCGCCCGAATGAAGTTCGCCATTTGAAAAGACACGAAGTTTGCAAATCGATGTAAAAAAACAAAATCCAAAAATAGGAAAAAATTATCTTGGCAATTTGCAGCTCGTCGTTGTACTTATGGAAAGTTTGCTGATGAGACGCGACGAAGTCGTTTTCCCGATGTTGCCGTCGCTTTCTTGAATAAAAAAAAAAAAAAAAAAAAAAAAAAAAAAAAAGTTGAGAGAAGAAAGATTTTCTGGTCAAAGACCACGAACAGTAGCGGATCAGACAGAGGGAGAAAAAGAAAGAGAAAGAACAAACATATATATATATCGACAGTTATTATTGAAAAAGTTATAACTCACTCATGCACCGTTGACAAAGCTAAGCTTTATACCTTCTCGCGTCCGATCGAATATTTTAATTGTCGGCGCAGTCCCTCTTGTTCTCCACTTCATTGTGCTTCCCTTTGCGCTACTGGACTGGCTTAATTGAGTCCCTCCGTTCGCTCTCTCTGGCGCATCGAAAGAGATCCACAAAGCGAACGAGAGAGAAAGAGAGTAGCTCACGCTGCGAAGTTCGATGACTTCGGAGACTTTATTGTTTGCATCGAAATTCAATTGCCGTAGGACACGATAACAAGAGAGAAGGTTCTTACTGACATACCCATGTTGTACTCTATATTTAACCGATAGTCGAAGACGGAAATTGTTTATCGCTCGCGTAATCAACCCGGGAGTTAGATTAAGAATTTCAAGCTAATGAGGGAGGGAAACAAAGTCTCGGGAATGGACGCACTTAACGAGATTGCCATGCTTAATTCCTATATTTTCTTGTGATACGGATCGATACGAGAGAAACGAATCGGATCGGGGCCAGCTTCTGAAAGCGGCCGCCCGCAAATTTAATTTTTAATAGCGCAGTCTGGATTTGTTCACAGTCCTTCTTCTTCTCTATATATGGTATATCATTCGCGAAGCGACGTCTTCTTTTTCTGCGAGTTTCCATGTGCTATTTTGCCTCAGACTGATTTCCTCGCAAAAAAAAAAAAAGGATTATTATCGCGCGACCCGAATCGCTTTGGTATGCGAATGACGTTACTCTGGGGCAAAGAGAAATTCAATTTTTATGAAGAATGTAGCATGATGGTAATCCGCGAGCAATTTCTGGAATAAATAAAACCACATCGAGATATGATGTGCACATATCTCATCTTAACATCCAGAAGCACTCACACAATACAGTATGTTCTAGAAAGCCTTAAAAAAAAGATGATGAGTATATTATAGACTTTTTCTTTAAGGTAATATTATTACAGGATAAAAGGCAATTTGGCTCAAGTGGAAAAAATAGAGAGATGGTATTGTAACATTTTACTAAATTGTTCCAAATAGGCGAGTAATTTTTTTAAGGATTTTATTGTAAATTAATAGCTTCTCTTATGTGAAGTTTATACGTATATACAGGCGGATATGTATAGATATACGTTTATTGTTTTTCTTGAAGTTACAATCTTTTTCCAAACAGAACTTACAATCTAACCACTAGCTTATATTCTACCTTACTTTCTATTTTATTCGCAAACTTATTCTACTTTACCAACTAAACTAACTTACACTAAACACACATACACTCTCACACACACACACACACTATCGCTATCCTTGGACTTCTGTTTTCGTTTAATATAAATTTTCACAAAATTCATCCTTTCATTTTCTCATTCTCACTTTTTCTCATCTTTTCTTATCCTCATTCACTCCTTTATTTTTATATCTTTTTTTTCTTTAAGTGAATATAGACACACACACACACAAAGACACATATATATCCGCCTGTAACGCTTACATGGTCGGTTCGAGTTATTGATAATCTCTGAGCCGCTTTTCAAGTTTCTCTCTTGGGTTATCAATTTGGATTACATAACCCGGAATAATAATTTAATGTTATATCGGAAGGATTGGAAATTAACCGAGGCAAATGAGCCACTTTGCCGTGTATGAGATTTACAGAATTAATAAACGTCGAATTGAGATTCACCATCCGTGGCGAATGGAAACTCTCGCACTTAACTCAAACTATTGTACTAAATAAGCAGCTTATTTCGATCGCGCGTGTAAGAAGGTGGTGCTGTCCTATCAGACATAACCACTTGTCGAGCTTTTATTTTCGACGACGCGGATTGTTTTTATCTTATAATTTAAGCGTATTGTGAAACGAGTTCATTTTATTCTATTTTAATAGACATATCGTTTCATCCGAATCGATCTCTCAGCGCGTGCTACAGCATTTTTCATTATCATCTTCCGATGTGTGCGACTTTGATTAAATTTTGCTTTATATTGGGAAAGTTGGGCAGCTTGAAATTGCACATAAATTACATTACGTGTATCTCACACGTGAACGTATCCGGTTAAACTTCTTTAACAAAAAACTTCGAAAGGATAATGTGATATTGTTATACAATAAAATGTAGATCTCGAATGTTCGTTAACTTTCATCGTACGGCGCAACAGCCGAGAAGGAAGATGTCGCATTAATTGTTCTACTTGAAATAAGAGCAACCGTGTGTGTCTGTTTCCAGAAATTGTTTGTTTCCTCAAAATTCAAAACGCATATTTTTATCGAATATTACGAACTTAATTCGAGGACAGAAAACCGCAAAACTTATATCGGTGTATTTTTTTTACGAAATTACTCGATGATACGACCAATCGCGGTTTATTTCGCAAAATAAAATCGCGAACGCGTATATTCGACGCATGGCGTCGTCTATTTCAATTTCAGCAGAACGACAAGAGGGGGAGTATAAAGCAACCTCGCTTCTGGAGCGAAATAAGGACGCTATTACTTCGGTTGTTACTCCTAATAACACTCGCGCCGAGATCTAGGATGGGGCTATTCGATGAGGACGCCGCGCCGAGACGAATTTATGATCTTGTTTTCCTGAAAAAGAGCAAGAGAGTTCTCCGAAAGAGGTTCGCCAACTGG